CCAGCAACCACATGGTGGCTCACAACCACCTGTAATGAGATCTGGTGCCCTCTTCTGGCCTACAGGAGGAAGAACACTGTATACATAATAAAAAAAAATCTTAAAAAAGAAAAGAATAGTAATACACTATTAATATTAGCAACAGAACTGTTTTGTATAGAACTTATGTCCCAGATGCTATAATCTAATGAGCAATGCAGGAGGAATATGTCTTATTATCCATTTTCTATTAAACACTGGAGATTTTATTCCCTCACATGTAGGGAAAAGTTTAAAATTATAACCTTAGTTATTTTTCATATTAAGAGACACATACTGAAGAGCTGAGGAAGAGCAGAGCATTTTACTTACCATTCAATCATGAGGAGACGATTAAGGCAATCTTCTCCACACGCTATTTCACCTTGAGCTCTTTCATCTTTAGAAAGAGGTGTACACTCACACTGCATTCGCTTAATGTCCCGATGGGATTTATTCTTCTTTCTATTGGGTAAATTTTCATAAAACTTAGTTACATTAAGTCTCTTGAAGATAATATATTCAATCAAATAAGTACTAAATCTCAGTTTCAAGTTTATTTCTATGAGGCCACACTAAGCTGGAAATAGACTTGAGTTCAAGACTAGCCTGGACTGTAAGAGCAAGACTCTATCCTCCTATACCCCCACCCCCTCATCTCCATCCCACTAACCGCCCACCCAAAAAAAAAAAGAGGCCTGTAATCCAAGCTATTCAGGAGCCTGAGGGAAGGACACAAAATCCTGGCTAAACCAGGATTTGAATCCTGCCAGAAGAAATCCAGCCAGAACAATTTAAAACCCTGTATGGAGCCCAGGAGGTGGGGAGTTCTGGAAACAGAGTCTGGGGAATACAGCTAGCTCAATTAGCAAAGTACTTGCTAATGTCATACAAATAGGCCCTAGGTTCAATCCCACAGCACCACAGGAAAGAGGGGAAGAAAGGAACATGTGACAATGAGGGGAGAAATGAGTTTAAGTCTTGTCATTTTGAAACTCAACCCTTACTTTCTAGTTCAGGTCAGCTAAATCCCAGACTCAACAATTTCAAGTTACTTACCAAGATTAGGAAAAATAGAAAATTTGTGATTTTCAAATAATGAGGTGACTGGTTAGCTCAAGTTTGAGAATTAGACCAAGGTAGCATATGGCTATAATCACAGCACTCTAAGGCTAGAAATCTTGGGTTCAAGGCCAGTCTGAGCTACATAGCAAGATTGTATTTCAAAAAAAAAAAAAGAACTCATGGGGAACAAACAGTTTCAGCTACAGGCTCAGGGAAGTAAGAGCAACTGGTAAATAAAAGTTTGTATGGGGCTGGAGGGATGACTGCAGTTTAAGAGCACTTGCTCTCTTGAAGAGGACCCAGGCTCAATTCCCAGCACCAACGTGGTAGTTTACAGCTGCCCATAACTCCAGTTCCAGTGCCCTCTGCTGGTCTCTAAAAGCACCAGGCATGCAGGCCATGTGCATTTATACATATAAAATAAAATCTAATTTTTATTTTTATTTATTTTTTATTTTTTTGGTTTTTTCGAGACAGGGTTTCTCTGTGTTGTTTTGGTGCCTGTCCTGAATCTCACTCACCAGGCTGGCCCCGAACTCACAGAACTCACAGAAATCTGCCTGGCTCTGCCTCCCGAGTGCTGGGATTAAAGGTGTGTACCACCACCACCGCCCAGCTTTTTCTTTTTTTTTCTTTTTTTTGTGGTGGCACACACCTTTAATCCCAGCACTCTGAGAGGCAGAGGCAGGTAGATCTCGAAGTTAAGGCCAGCTTAGTCTACAAAGCCCGTTCCAGAATAGCCAGGACTATTGCACAGAGAAACCCTGTCTCAAAAAAACAAAAGCAAAATAAAATTTTAATCAAGAGCTTTGATTCAACCAGATCTGGGTACAGTGACACGTCCCTATAATCCCAGCACTGGGGAGCATGAGGTAAAAATACAAGTTTTATACCAGCCTTAGCTACTTAGCAAGCTCTAGGCCAGCCTGGGTTAAATAAGTGGGATCCTGTTTCACAAGAGAAAGAGTGTATATTTAACTGAACCAAATCTTTTATGAGATCCCTTAGTGGTATACAACACACTTGTACATATCTGTTTAAAAAGTGAACAGAGCCGGGCGTTGGTGGCGCACGCCTTTAATCCCAG